GTTGCTCCCCATATAAGTATGCGCAGATACTCAAAGGCAGTATGTTGAACATCAGCACCTTCCACCCCGGGATAAGCCCAGGGCTCCACTACCGTGCACTGCAAAAGGAGCAACATTGCGTCGACAGAGAAAAAGTGGTATCATTTTTTTTATTTATTTTTTTTAATGATATAAATTCAACAGAGAAACATCAAGGTTCTCTATACGCCTCGGTGAAGAGATGCAATTTTAACGTTTTTTTAAACAAGTTTAAAGATCTAATGTGTTTGACCGAGCAAGGCAAAGCGTTCCAAAAACGTGGAGCAGCAATACTAAAAGCTCGATCCTCGTAAGAGTGATATGACTTAGGCTGGTGTAAAAATAGTTTGTCACAAGAGCGCAAGTTACGCCCAGGAATATAAGGCTCAGTGTTGGCCGAATTCTGGCTCAAAATGTTCTTATTTTGTTCTTATTTTTACACACTTTTCAAACTTATAAAAATATTATTGTACAGGCTCAGTATATTACTCTACTGTATTATATAGAGGGTGTTACATAGTCAAAACTTGAGGTACTGATAACATTTGTTGGTTTTTCTACTTTTTTGAAATAAAAAATCTCATTTGACATTTTACCTACGTCTCAATTTGTTCTTATTTTGTTCTTAATTTTTAAGCTATTTCAGCCTCAGTGTTCTTATAAAATGTGTTCTTATTTTTTTTTAAATATGTAATGTATTTAGTGAGTGAGTGACTGCAACAAGATGTTTAATTACAACACGCTTTCAACAGGTCTGTGCCAAACACCACTGGTGACATTGCATATAGAATCTCGGCAGTCAACGATTTCCCTAGATATTGCCGTTTCTCTAATAAACCCACATTACTGATACAATTTCGTTTTTAATAATTCCTGCAGATTTTACTTTTGACCCAGTAAATGAAAGTTGTTTTATTACCCTTATTTTGACGTCTCATCGCACGCAGGGCTCACAGTGGTTACGGTGCGCATACTTGGGGAGGAGACGGTTAATGCGTCGCATTCACTCCACAACCTTGGCAACAAATGAACCTATAAGGTCATAATATTTCAAGTAATGCGGTATCATGGCTCATTGAAAGACTTTTTAGACCTATTATAAAAGTTCTTCAATACGTGTCTAGAGGTGTTGTGGGAGAGCTTCCAATGTGGCATGATTCGAGTAATTATCGTGTCTGTATTAATTACATTTCCATGTATATCGAACAAATTGATCACTTGA